TGTATTCTGAAACATTAAAAATGTAAAAAATACATGATATTTGTTTTGTGTACTGGCTATATTATTTTATTTTAATACTTACAACGTCTTTACTCACTGGTTAGATTAGGAATTCACAGCTTCGCTAAAAGTTCGATAAATCCAACTTTGAGCGTTACCTTCGCTCACCTTCGCTGTATCGTTACTTTGGTAGAGTGGGGGTAAACGCCAGCTTTAGCTTCGCTCCGTGAAATGGCAGCTTTAGTGAATTTGGATCACGTGACTAATTTGCTGCTGCTGCATGCTGCGTATGAAAAGGCACCTTTAGACCGTGCACTGGGACACTCGGGTGACGTTTCTGAACGCAACCCTGTTGTGTTTTCTGAACGCACCCATTTATTACGACGGAGAATTGCTGTTTGAGTAAATTCGAGTGTCTTCTATTTGGCGGCAAAATCTACACTCGAGCAGTTGGTCATTTGTTTAAAAAATATTAATGTAAAATTTACATATTGTATTAACATTGCTTGTTTGTTTCAAGTGTTAATGTAAGTGTAATGCCTTTATATTTATGAAGAATTTGTACGCTTACATGTAACGACTAACAGTCATTTCCAGAACTTTAAAGGTTATATTGTGAAAAAAATTCTCTTGCCTGTAGCGATTAAATGTGGTGATAAATTACTTAAATTATATTTAATAATATTAGTGGCAATGGATCTCTCAGCCACGCAAATTTTTGAGGACGGGGAGGACTTCCTACTCACACAGGAAATCTCTCGTACACTAGAAGAGGAAGATTCGGTGCAGGTTAATTAAATACACTTTTTGATGATAAAATGTAAAATTAGAGAAAAGTTATACAAAGTATATCGAATTTATAATGTTAATATACTCAATAAGTTTTCAATGTTGGATTTTTGTTTTTAGTATTTTAGTGTTATTTTAAATTGTTCCCCAAAATTTTAATTTTTAAATAAAATGCTTAACAAAGTTTAATAAGATATTTTATATGTTGTGAAATATTTTAGGTCGGAACGTTGAGCGTTGGTTCCACTGATCATAAGGTTAAAACAGGGATCACAAAGATTGGCAGACACGATAGCTGCAATATTATTATTAAAGATGCAGTAAGTTTTACCTTTTATTACTTATATCAGAAATTGGTTGAAGATCATTTTTGTAACGAGTATAAAGAAAAATGTTCTGATTTTATAAGGACTTGATATAAATTGACGTATAGAACAAAGCAACATTTACATCTTAGTAAACCGTAAACCTAGTTTGGAAAAAATACTTGGGTTTTGCTTCAATATTATTTAGAATTTTTCCCAAAAAAACATTTTGCGCGCAAATATCTAGCATTATTACGATGCACTGGGACAGGATTTTGCTTGCGTTATTGAGCCATTTTTGTATGAGTTGTTAGATATTTGTGCTTAAAATTATATGTTAATACACGAGCTAACCACTTGCGTGCGAAAGCACAGACTAAATATCTTGCGAGCAAAACTCTGGCAAATCTCGTGCAAGTTTGCATGCATAAGACAAGCAATATTTGCGCACAAGAATTGTTATCAGAGTTCATTGATTCTAGCTGTGTGGTGTATAGATTCTGCACTATCCTCTCCACCTCTGATTTTTATATACAATATATGAAAAGGTTAATCAATAAGCATCTGAGCCAAATATGGAGATGATATTTATAATGATTTAATTCTTTTTTCATAGACCGTCTCAAAACTACATGCAGAAATTGAAGCTAGCAGAGGAGGATCAACCTGGATTTCTGATCTAAAATCTTCCAATAATACGAAACTTAATAATGTAATAGACATTATAGATCTTTATTTATCAATATAGCTCTCGGTTTATGCTGCTTAAGCATTTTGATACTCAAACTTTGTTTAACGTATTTATTGTTATATAATTTTATTTACATATGCAGTGAATATCTCATAGAATTGTTCCTAATGCATGTAACATTTACATATATATGTATATATATGAATGTAGCAAATATTTATTGCATATATATGTATATAGGTATAGTGAATTAAACAAATTGTTTAATGCATCATTTAAGATAACATTGTGACAAAAATACTGCGATACTTTTCAAGATGGATTAATTGTTTCTTTTCATGTCTACAGTTTATATTACGACCTACTCGTTGGTACGAACTCAAAGATGGAAGTGTTATTGAACTCGGTAAAGTACGCGCTACCTATCGTACATATTCAACTGACACGGGTGATATTGTGATACCAGAAACGCCTGCACCACCGCGGCAGAAAGTTGCAAGTACAATAATTCCGAATACACCAGATTCATCTCTTGTAAGTGTTTTAGCATACGATATTGGCATTGATTGACAAAATTAGAGCAACGTATTTATTTGCACAGAACAATTCTTCCGGTGTGGATGATGACGGGTCTGTCATTCTTGGAACTCAGAAAGATGAAAATAGTGTCTTTCGACGGCCGCGAGTTCCACAGCTGTGTCAATCTACGAGCAGCAGTAAAAGTAATACTTCTATGAATGAAAGTAATGACTCTCGAATCGCTATGAACACGTCTGATGTTAACGTTGGCGAGAATCAATTCGGTATATTTGATACAGAAACGCAGACTTGTGAGGAGAGATGTGAAATGCCATCGAGTTCCATTCATGATATGGAAACGCAAGGAATCCCCAAAGATGTGTCCGAACAACTTGTCGAAGCAAATACTGAAGTCGACGAGCAGCCGTCAGAACTAAATGTTGATAAAACAAATGCCAGATCTGTGAAGGATATTCACGATATGGAAACGCAAAATGTTGATAAAACAAATGCCAGATCTGTGAAGGATATTCACGATATGGAAACGCAAAATTATATGGATTATAAGAATGAAATGGAGAAGCAAAGGAGCGAGATCAATATTCAAAATGTAACAAAGGAGAATTTTACGGATGTTCGTATTGCGGAAATACATGATTGTGTCAGCGATACTGGTAAAGGTGGCGGCGATACTCAGAAATCTGAATTTGACAAGAAAAGACAGAAGAATGTGAGTGAGAATATCGGCCGCGATATTCAAGATTTGGAGACACAAAAGTTCGATGATAAATGTTTTGCGGATAACGTGTCTAAAACTCAATTTGGATTGGACGATGCAAGATGCGAACAAAACGGAGATATATCCAACATGGAAACTCAATTCATAACAGATGGTACGTCAAATGAGACTAATAATCGAGCCAACAACGAAATAAATCGTGAGAACATTACGGGGTCACCAAAGTCCAGATCCAGCAGTCCCGGATCTTTGAATTTATCTTCACCAGGGGTCGATGACTGTCCTTCGCCATTAAACCAGAGCGACCATTTGCTCGAATCATCAGATTTATTAGAGTTTTATGGCGAGGGTATTGATAAGGAAAAAGAAATTCATGCATGCTGTACGTCTACGCCGAAGCCGCTTACGAAACAGTTATCGGAAAGGGATAGTAACGTTGGAAATGTGGATACCGAAGAGAATAACGATGAGGATATGTTCGAAGCTCCTACTCAACGTCTCAGTAGATTTGAAGCTTCAATGTCGGACTATTTCGAGACGAACGAGGAAGGTACACTTGCAGTGTGCAAAGTTTTAAAGAAGAAACGTCGATCGGAACAAACCAACAATGATTCAGAAATAGACACAACGCAGAAATACATTGCAGGACACGCTAAAAAGCAACGTGAATCTTCAGGCACTCTAAATAAGCCGTCTAATGAAGATGCAAATAGAAGTGACCCTGGCACAAATGTCGAGTCTGAAGATATGTTTGATGCGGCGACGCAATTGTTGAACAATTCTGCAGCTAAGGACACATCTTCAATTAATCAACCGCAAGAAACTAATGAAATTAATAGGGCTGATGATATAGAGTCGACGCAAATTAGAAATAACGTTAATCAGGACAACCAAATAGACACGTCGGACATTAATGAGGCGTCTACTCAGCTCATTTTATCACACAAAACTTCAAAAACAGTCGATCGTTGCACAACAGAACTTCCTGATTGTGAAGATATAGATTATGAGCTCGCGCCTACGCAAGTAATCGGTGAAATTGAAGATAAAGAGGGGAGGAGCTCCACTCGCGAAGGAGACTCTTCCAAGGTAAATTTAAACGACACTCTCGAACAAAAACTTAATGAGATGTTTGAAGATATAAACAACGACGTAAATAACGTTTGTGAGTTACCGTGCATGTCGACGCAGTGTCTGGAAGATATTCTGGAGCACGGTAACTCTGCTAGTAAATCCATCGCTGACAACCGAAATACAGATAAAATGCCACAAAAGCAAGTAAAAAAAGGGAATCAGGTATCTTGTAATCAACAGTCACATAATTTACTGAATACCGAAATAAATGACAATAACGTTAATAACTCCGAGACTGAATCACAAAAATCAGATACCCGTTTTTCTACAATCACTACAAGGCGCAAGAGAAATATTTTGAAAGATACACAAGAGTTCGTGAAAGATGTGACTCCTCGTCAAAATGTTAATTCTTTGCAGGCATCTGCAGTAAACAATGAGAAAGCGGTAGATGATGACACAACTGTGGAATCTAAGAGAAGAAAAATAATTTCAAAAGCGAAAAATACATCTGAGTCTACGACGGAAACGTTGAACGACGATAACGGGAATAAAAACATTTCGAGCGGGGATAACGAAAGAAGTGTTCGAAGTTTGAGATCGACGAGGCAGAAAAATGTAACTACGCCGGAAACGAGCAAACAAGTCTCGGGAAGAGATCCAGCCAAACTCGAAGCCGATGACACAGAAGAGAACACGTCGGCTTGCGTTCCTTGCTCATCAGCAAGTGGGCAATGTTTGCAAACGTTAAATCCGTTATATGAGATGGACGATGACATTCTAACGCGCTTACCAGCCGTTAGAATATCAGGGACTCTCTCATATCCGGCGAGTCCTTCTGCATCATCGATGTCGAGTGTGCGTAGTACGAGATCTAAACGTAGTACGAGTTCTAAACGAGACCTCGTAGCAAAGGGGAAAAGACGTAAGTCCTCGAGAGGGAAATCATTACGCAAACGGAACGTTGGGAATTCGAGGGAAAACGATAAGCCGCCTGCTGATGGTTGTCCAAGTCCTGTTCTCAACACTTCAACGATTGTTAAAGTACCAGATCTTGTGGACACTTCCGAGGATAGTGAAACTGATAGCGAAACTGAACGATTTCAACAAATGGCAGGCAGAATGTTAAGTAAGTTCAGTGGTCCGAAAGGGCAGGATGAAGGAAGCGGGAAAAATACATGCGTTTTGTCAGATGTATCGGAAGATCCGGGGCAGAGTACAAATATCGAATCGAGGAGTCTAACGCGAGCCAGGTCAAGAACGACGCGACATTTCAGCAAACAAAGTAATGAGAATTCGCGCGATCTTCAGAGAAAAACTCGTCTGAAAAGTGCAGCTTGCGAAGGCAGATCCACGGAGCCAGAAACGAAGTTTACTGTTAAAAGGAAGATATCTCTGAACGTGGTAGAAGAAAACGCGGAGAAAATTACGTTGAACAAATGTAAACCGGCACAAGACACCGAGAAATGTCCAACTTCTGCTGCTTTGGAAAAGACTCGAGGGACTTCCTCAAATACAGATGGAAGTGTCCATCTTGAAAGATCCAATGTTAAACGAAGTAGATATAAAATTGATGATGGTGAAGTTACAGACAAGTTGATACATGTCAGTGAAGTAACTGCGAGTGGAAATACTAAGAAGAATGAACCAGCTCAGAGAAAAGGAATGGAAACGCGAGCGAGTGAGTCGCAAGAAAAGGTTTTGAGAGTTTTGCTTACTCCCATAAAGAGTCCCATGGATGATGAATCCCAAGAAGTTGAGAGAATCATGGTGAAAGGTCCGAGTCAAGTGCAGGATAAGAATTTATCGATAAGAGAAAGCAGTAAGGCAAAGCTATTCCGTAGAGGATTGAGAACCAGAAGACGATCTAATTCGGATACCAAAACATATTCTGGCTCATCTGAGAGTGGTATGTCATCTGAGATAGGAGACTCAAGTTATACGGGACTTATCAATCCTGAACCGAGAGTTAAACGTCGAAGAGCTGCTAAAAGTTCCATTTCTTCGACAGAGGCCCAAGTCTCGAGAAGGGAGAAGACTTTCAAGAGGCCTACTCAGATAAAGAATTCTTCAAATTTGGCTTCTAGTTTCTCTATAGAAAATACTATTAGCGAAAGTAGTCAGAGCAGTACGGAAAGTTTCACTTCAACAAACTCGAGAGTTTCAAGATCGAGAGCAGCAAGCATCAGAGAAAAGGAGAAGGCGGAGTTGAATCAAAATACAAATGGACGAACTGATGAGAGTGCTTCAGGGCTAAATGCAAGTGTAGAAATTACGTCTTTTTCAACGCCTAGAACGCGCAGGAGTACATCTATCCTGAATAATTCCACACCATCCGCAATAAAACATAAAGTTTTGTTTACGGGTATAATGGAAGATTATAGTAAGATTGTTAAAACGTTAGGTGAGCACAAGTTGAAATAAATTGTGGGATTTTTCTGCAGTTATCATTAACAGCTGTTTTCCTGTTTGTTGACAATTTTTCTTTTACAGGTGGAAGCAAAGTGGAAGATCCGGCAAAAAGCACCATTTTGGTTACTGATAAAGTTCGACGAACGTATAAATTTTTGTGTGCGTTGGCGAAGGGCGTGCCCATAGTGGCGATTGACTGGTTGAAAGATAGTGAAACAGCGGCGCGGTTTCTAGATTGCGAAAATTTTATGTTGAAAGACCCGGCCGCCGAGGCCAAGTTCGGTTTCAGACTAAGGAAAAGTCTTGACAAAGCTAAAGGAAACAGATTACTGGATGGCTACGTCGTTGTATTGACACCGAACGTCGCGCCGCCGCCTATAGAAGAATTGAAAAGTGAGAGATGGAAATTTTTTTTATATCAATATATAAAATATATTTCATGTTTTTATACTCTTACAGATATAGTGTCGTCTTGCGGTGGAAAAGCTTTATTACGCCCTCCGATCAAATGGCCCGAAAGAGCAGTGATTTTGTCTTGCGAGGAAGATTTGCCAAATGCAAGGAAGTTTCTCTCTAAAGCACCGAAGACTGTTACAGTACAATCTACAGAATTTATCTTGACTGGTATTTTAAGGCAGGAAATGGATTTTGAAAAATATAAGTTAACATAATAAGTGATCCTTAATAACATTGTATATCGTGAATTACATCCAAATATTTCAATTCTTAATTTAGAGACCAGTCTATACTAACATTATTAACAATGCCATATACTATCACATTTTTAATAAACAAAAACAAATGGAGTTTTGAAACTTCTATTTTATTTATGAACCTTTCAAACACAAAGCTGCTCTGTTCATTGTTTGAATTATCAATAGTGATTTCATAAAATTTTTAACATTTTGAAATGACCTATGTACTTATATAAAACAAATTGTATAAATAATTCCATGTTAAATCAAACTGTAAATATCTGAGTTATTTCTAAATTTCATATTTTAATGTATTCATACATATACAAGAAAAAGGAAGTTAAAATTGTGATTGATGACCACAGCAAGTTTTAAGTGTGAAATAAATGAATCAAACATATTCTGTAAAGTAATTTTTTGTAATTTCTTTAAAACTTATTCTATTTGTATTGCGCGTTATACAAAGAGATTCTTAAATAATTAATAAGAATGCGGCGATAAAATATTAAAATGTAATGCATCGACAAATTCAATCAAAATCAATACTTTCAAAAAGTACTGAGCTTGAGAAAGAAATTTGAATAAAAATTAAGAAATGTTTAAAGTGATGTATAAAAATAATAAGTTTTGACATGAGAATCGTTTTTCGTTGTTTTTAATAAACGCTCACTCTATTTGCAATACAAAATTTGATATATCCAAAATAAGATATGTATTTTACAAAGGCATATGTTTCTCTTCAATTGAATGACAAAATTAAGTAATTAATGATTCATTATATACATTTTTAAAATTATTTTATAAATTAAAAATAAAAATCAAATGTAATGCCATGAAAAGGAAGTAAAATCATATGTATTCGAAATATATTTATTAAAATAAGTATTTTGCAAAAGCAGCATACTTGGCGCGCCTATTTTATACATAACTGAAATTAAAATGTACAAAAGTTTTATTATTTATTAATTGTAAACAGCTTTTCGTAAATTAAAACAAATTTTATATGCATTCGAGCGAATGTTGTGTATTTCCTGAAAACTGTAAAAACATTTTTGTCCGTCTACATTGTATCGTTATTCTAAAACTCTTCAAAAATATGTGCTTTATGCCGGGCTGTTTCGTAGATTGACGTAGATTATTGTAGAAGTTCTTTCGGCGTCCCGAAACTACATCGAAAAGAGACGCTTCCACTTCGCCGCATTCCAAAACTTCAAGGAAAGGCGTTTCCGGCCGCCCGACGCGTTAATTGCGTTCCGAAACCCATTGAGAAAAAAGTCATTTTAGTCACACCAAGTGAAGTCGGCGTAACGCGAAACGGGTGCACGCGAGCGTTACCGAAAAACCCGCTTTTATATCGCCTTTCAGTATTTACAGTCCTTTAGTATTTACGAACGCGAAACGGACGCTGACCGCTCGCCGTCTTCCGCAATTCGCCGAAAGTGGGACCGCATTCGCGCGCAACGGCCGAGATCGCGATGAGTAGGGGTTAGAAATCGGCTCGGCACTCGCGTGAACATGTCCGCGGATATGTCGGACATGGACGCCGACAATCAGAGCGAGGACGGAGAAATTAAGAAGAGCCCATCGAAGGATATGGGCGACTACAGGTACTGTTTACGCCAAGATCGCTTTCCGTAGTCCTCGATTTTAGAAGCGCTGGAGCTGGAGTCGATAGCGCCTTCGGCTCCACTCGAGTTACATAGCGCGGGCTCGCTTTTCCCTTGCCATTAAAGAGCGCCGTTTCGCACTCGCCTTTCCCTCCGACTAAAAACGATGCTTCCGGTATACAAACCGACGAGGTTTCGCCAATTCCAAGCGAAAGGTACACGAGCGCCGGACCCGAATCCAGAACCCTATTGTTATCTTACTTATCCCGGGTGTTCCGTCCAGTGTTCGTTTTTAAGGTTAGGTCCGCTAGACGAGTCCGTCACGAGCCGGGCAGGCTTGTGTCTGCGGCGCGTACGCATCCGATCCTCGCATCTGTTGCTCCGCGTCGCCCGAGCCACGTGAGAGTCGTTCAGGTTAGCCTAAAATAACAATTTAGGGCGCATGTGCGCGCGTGCGCGACAAATTTTTGTCCTGTTATTTTTTTTGGCGTGTATTCGGGGGACCTGTCGGTAATGCAGCGCCCGGTATTCGGTACAACTGCCCCGCGAATGGCGGACGTCGCGTCGACGGATCCTTCGTTCGTCACCCGTTGACACCCCACGTTCGGCAACCTAGCTCGCTCCCTCTCCCCCCCTTTTTTTTTACAAGTGAAAACGGGGTCGCGTTACGTCGCACGAGGCAGAATGACGAGCGATGCTGCCCCGAATTTTTAGGTATTCAACGCGAGCGCGTTTGCACTCCGCGTTTCGTTTTCTCGCAATACTTTTCTCTCCGCTTCATTCTGTCATTTGTGGCGTACAGGAGCGTCGTCCTTTCTCCGGCCCCGTCAGTGTGCGGCACATATCACGAGACACGGTAGTGCCTCGCGCCAAGTATAAGCGTAGCTAGTACCGCGCGCGCGAGACCGACCGTGTGTAGTTTACGCGAGTACGCGAGTTGGCAGGGGCCCACAGATTTTCGGATCTCAACAACGGCAGAACCGGCCAACTTCTAAGTGCACTCAATCGATAGCTTGAATCTATTTATAATTTATTTATTCAATTTAACAATTTAACAATTAACTCGTTATACATTTAATTAAGTTATATTAATCAAATTATATAATGTGGTGTTGAAAAAGACTAAGTGAAGTCGAAACGTTCACCGATGTAATGAATTAAGAATACAATTTTACCTTGATAACATCCAATATACCAGCTCGTTAATTTTGGCCTCTTAAAATTCAAATTAATTGTGTATACATAAAACGAGCGTCACATCTACATTATTTTGATAGCTTGTTTGTTTTACTTTATACGTAAAGAAATTCACGACGCACGCAAGTTCGCGGGCAGATTTTCGGTGAGAAAAGTTAGCGATACCTCGAGGCCGGAAGGTTGTTGATGCCGATCCGCTTTCGCTTGTATACAGAGCGATTGAAATCGGCATTGTTTAACGTTATTTGCAATAGTAAAGAGCGAGAACGAGTGGCCGTAGGCAAGTGGCCCCATTTGTCTCGCACTCGATTTTGGTCACGAAGTAGACGCCAGACGAAAGGCCTCGTCAAGCTGATTAGTCCCAGTCTACAATAGAGATTTAAACCCCAAGCCTCAATCTAAGAAATTGACTAATCGCAGTTGCGCATTCTACTCATACTTGGTCGTGATTGGCCAATTTCTTAAAGCTCAGGGCTTAAATCATCTATTGTAGACTGGGACTTACATATATGTCAGTCTCAGAGTGTACCTATTTAACATTCCAGAGATATCGGGCTCCAAAGATGTCAGCATCGACCGTTGGGAAACCTTTTAGTCGACTGCAACTCGGATCCATCAAACGACGCGTCCGCTTGGCCAAGAGCCTTTGGTGCCTGGTTGCCAATCATTTTGGTAAAGCGATTCAGTAGCATTTCGAACACTTTTGTTCGGACAGGTAGCTCCATTCTTGTGGCTTTCCTGACGACGCAGTGGTAATCAGTAGATGGTTGATAGCCCTTACCACGAGTGGAACTGTACACAGAGAATAGAGACTCCTTCGTCGCCGGTTTCTCGTTTTGTCTTGTTCGCGCGTTCGATTCGCTTTGTTTGTTTGTTTTTTTTCGTTGGACCACTTCTCGCTCGTCAGTTCCATTCGTTCCTTGGGTACTTCCGTGTGTCGTACGCTGTCCTGTGCCAGCACTTTTCGATGGCACCCACCAAGTGCACAGGCTGTGGTGCTGTGCGCCGAGGAACGGCTCCATTTTACCTCCTCGATTCGATCGAGAATGCGCTCCAGAGCGTCAATGACTTGCGCCAGGGCTCGAACAAGCGCTTGAAACTGTTGCCGCCCATCGATTCGTACACTTCTGGATCCAAGCTCTGCAAATCCTGTTACGACCACATCCGATATCAGCCGGTGGCTCGTCCGGTGTACGACGAGACTCCAGATTTGACGATATACAGACAAGCGCCACATTCCAATCACCAGTGCTCATTCGGCTGCATACGGCCAACTGAACTGACCAGGATGTCCCCTAAGCTCCGATACGATCTCCTCGTGAACTTCAAGTTCTACACTGAGGACGAGGCGAGAATGTGCGCGTCTCACATTGGTATCAGTAACTGGTGGCCTCTCGTGAAGCAAATCCACTCGTCGGTGGCTCCCAGCGAATTTGGGAAAGTGACCAATCTGATGTTCAGTCTGCACCAGAAGCTAGAGCAAAGCGGCAATTCGAGTCTCTTCGAACCCGACCACTCCTGACTATGCAACATTCAAGTGGAAAGTCCGGTGCTTGTTGAGTGCAAGGCGCAATCGCGTTTCCAAAGTGGGACCAACCACTACCAGTTCGTGCTCTGTGACACGGATGGCAAAGAATGGACTAGAGGCGATTGTGGCCTATCACTGCACCTGCGAGGCTGCTGCAGTTACTTGATGGCCATCATCTGGTATCTATCCCGCGGTCACAACAATCCATTTACAATTCCTGCTGAGAATCTAACATTGCTATCGATCTAATAATTTGTGAATAAAGACTCGTCGCTCATTTCCCGCATAATTTTTATTTGACCAGCCAGTGGCGCCACTGATTGGTTTAGGAATTTTTGGAGCCCGATATCTCTAGAACGTTAAGTAGGTACACTCTGAGACTGACATATCTGCGATTGTCTTGACGAGACCTTTCGTTTGGTATCTGCTATGTGACCAAAACCGAATGCGATAAAAATGGGACCGATCTTGCTCTCACTCTTTTAAGCTTACGCCAAGAAGTGGACTTGGTGTTCGTTTAACGTCATTTAATAAAGCGCCGACACGAGAGACTCGTAAGTTCTCCGTTTAGGTTGACGGAAAACGATAGTTTGCTTCGAGGATTAATCGGCATCGCTTCTTAATTTTTTTACTTTGAACGTATTCTCAAAGATTGGCACAGCGAATTTTATTTAAAAAAACGAAGATAACAAGTGATGTTACTCGCGATACAGAGCATTTATCAGTTTGTATCTCAAAGATTTGCTTTACAAATTTTCAAGGTGTTAGCAATGGGTGCTTTCTAGGAAAGGACACAGATTGACGCAGTGCAATACAGAGAATTATTTCATTCTCGTGTAATAATGGCAAATAACAGAGATAAAACGATTTATTGTGTTAAAGTCTGCGTCCACGATGCTAGAACTTGGTCCAGCTTCTAGTTTTGACAAATGCGTAGCCATTCATCTTGCAGCTATTCCATAAAAGCTGCAAATTGATTGGCTACACATTTCTCGAAACTAGAACTTGGACCAAGTTCTAACATCGACCTTTACACAGTGTCGCCTGTGTACATTGCTGGAAAGCGCCCAATCCCGATTCGATTTACTTACCTGTTCCGTTTGATACCTGCAGCTTTTCGGAGGAAGAGGGTGGCGACACGGCCGACTCCTTGGATATTAAACCGCCGCAGGCAGTTGTGCGCCATCATAAATCCAGCTCGTCCCGTCGAAGGGAGAAGCACAGCGACAGGAGGAGTCGCAGGGATGAGAAGGAGCGAAAGTCGCGTCAACACGAGCGCGAGGACAGGCACAGGGACAAGCATAGGCATCGCAGGCATGTGGGGGAACCTGCGGAAAGATCCGAGCGTGTGGAGAGCTCCAAGAGGAACCGCGAGAGGATGGAGCGACTAGACAGGATGGAGGGCCATTCTAGAGACAGGGAGTCCTCCAGGCACGATCGCAAGGAAAGAAGTACGGGAGACCGTGTCCTAGAAGATTTGAGGGAAAGGTATAACTTGTCTCGTATCTTGGAAATTTCTCACCGAATTTCTGCTTTACGAAATATTAATGACCGTTTGTCAATGAGTCGCTTGCTTCTCTTAAAATTCTAGTTAGAAGAAAATATGTTGCAGATTATTGGACAAGAGAAGGGAGAGACGGGAGGATCCGCGCGACACTCGGAACTACAAGATCGAGTCGTCCCGGCACGAGGTGCGATTGGAGGAGCTGCGAGAGATGCGCGAGCCACGCGACCGGCGAGAAATACGGATGGAGGACCTTCGGGAGCGTCGTGAAATGCGTACCGTGGACGACGGTAGGGAGCGTCGGGAGATTCGCATGGAGGAGCAGAGGCACATACGGGTGATCATGGACGAGCAGTTCTCGGAGAGCGAGCTGATGGAACGGTCCGAGAAACGTCGCAAGAGATCCCACAAGCACGATAGAGTTCGTGAGAGGGACCAAGAGAAGATGGAGCGCGAGAAGGAGCACCGGGACAAACAGCTGCGGGAGGCGATGGAGATCGTAACCGACGAGGTTAGTGAGATGGATGTGCAGACGGAGATCTCGATACAGATTAAAGATCCAAAAGAGATGACGGAACAGGAACTTAGGAAAGAAAGGCTGTTGGAGGCCGACAGAGAAATGGCCAGGCGGAAGGAGGTGTCCAGGATGGAGTTGGAGGCGAGGAGAATGAAGAGAGGCGAGAAACGACCCGTGAGCCCGGACAACAACCCGGATCCTTCGATCGTAGAGCTGTCGGATGAAAGCATCAGTCCTGCTCATTCCGAGGGCGCGCGATCGAAATCGGCCGAGTCGAGACACTCGTCCGAAGGGGAGAGAAGTCCGCACGAGCGCTCGTCGGAGCGACACTCGTCCGACTCTTCGGAATCTAGCAGCGACGACGATGACGAGTCTAACGAATCGAATAAAGGTTCCGCTGGCGACTCCAACGACGGCTCGGAATACAACAATCCAAGTCCGCTGTCTGTCGATCGACTAGCCAAATCCGATCATTCGGATGGAGACTCTCCGGGACACGTTGATTCTAACAATGCTACGAAAACCGTAGAAGAGGAGGAAAAGAAAGAGGAGGAACCGGAGTTACCGCCATATCTGCCGGCTATTCAAGGTGCAGCAAGAAATATTTGTAAAAGAAATTTTAAAAGAAAATTGAAGGTATAAAGGCATGCCAAATACACGAGTTAATCAGACTTGAATTTTTATCGTAAATAATCTCCAATCTGATTAATTCAAATTTGCTTTTATACCTTTAATCTATTTTTTTATTTTTGCCTTATTAACTTTCTTTTTAATTTAAATTTTAGACACTGTTATTCTTTTAGCTGTATACACATGTATTGTAAATTTTCTACTTTTTAGGTTGTAGAAGCGTCGAGGAATTTCAGTGTCTAAATCGAATTGAAGAAGGTACATATGGAGTTGTGTACAGAGCACGCGACAAACGCACGGAAGAGATAGTCGCGTTGAAACGATTGAAAATGGAGAAGGAGAAGGAAGGCTTTCCGATTACGAGTCTGAGGGAGATCAATACATTATTGAAAGCGCAGCATTCCAATATTGTTACCGTGCGAGAGATAGTCGTCGGCAGCAACATGGATAAGATATTTATTGTCATGGATTACGTGGAGCACGATCTGAAATCCCTCATAGAAACCATGAAGCAGAAGAAACAAGTTTTTATACCTGGTATTATTCTGTTAAACAATGTAGGAAACTGGTCGAGGAGTTGAGTGTAGTAACAGCAGAAATTGAAAAGTAAAAAACAATTTTATCGAAAATAATATATAATAATCTAGGTGAAAGATTTATGAATGTAGAATAATTGTATATGTCATGGATTACGTGTATTAAACTTGGCGCTCTGCTGTTGCACTCAAGTCCTAAATTTATATAATAGGTATATATAATTTATATATTCATATAACCTTAGAAGAATATGCGAACGTAAGGAACGTAAGGAATAATTATGGTATTTCTTTTTATTACAGGAGAAGTTAAATGTCTTATGCAGCAATTGTTATGCGCTGTCGCACATTTACACGATAATTGGATACTGCATCGCGACCTAAAGACGTCCAATTTGCTGTTAAGTCACAGAGGCATTTTGAAAGTCGGCGATTTTGGCTTGGCTCGAGAATATGGCTCTCCCTTGAGGCAGTACACGCCGATCGTCGTAACGCTTTGGTATAGAGCTCCTGAATTACTTCTGTGTGATAAAGAGTATGCAGGCATATATAGTACGCCTATTGATATGTGGTCCGTGGGGTAAGTACATATGTTTATTGGAAGGTCGTTTGATATGATTTTTTTAAATTAATGGTGACATTAATGGATTATAGTATTAAATGTACAATTTTAGAGTATATAAACCACAATATTTATGATAATCTCTCCTTAGGTGCATTTTCGCCGAGCTTTTAAGGATGGAACCACTCTTCCCGGGAAAATCTGATATAGATCAATTGAATAAAATATTCAAGGAGCTGGGTACACCGAGCGAAAGGATCTGGCCAGGATACGCCAAGTTACCCATAGTACAAAAGATTCCGTTCGCGCATTATCCTGTAAATAATCTCAGACAAAGATTTAGTTTATCGTTGTCCGATTTAGGTATCGAGATGCTGAACAAGTAAGTTATACCGTTTAGAGAACAATTTGCGGAAGCATTTAATATTTAAATATGTTTTATTACAAGTGTGATTTTTCTCTTTCAGATTTTTAACGTACGACCCTCGTCAACGTGTAACCGCCGAAGACGCCCTGAATCATGGCTACTTTACTGAAGCGCCTTTGCCAATCGACCCGCAAATGTTCCCCACGTGGCCCGCCAAGTCGGAACAAGGAATCAGAACCACGAACGCGTCCCCGAAGCCACCGAGCGGAGGCAGAGAGTACAAACAATTGGGTGACGGTGACGACGCCGATTTGAGTAACTCCGGTTTCCACATGGGCTTAACGGAGGGTGGCAGAGCGCCGGCGGTTGGTGGTGGCTTTCACTTGAAATTCTAGTTGAAAGCGAGACTTTTGCACTCTGTGAATTGTAACAATGAACTTTTTATTTACATAGATTTGTATAAAATACACATGTGGGTCTTTTGAAAAGTTCTCGAAATGGAGTATAATAACTCGCACACATTAAATGGAAACTACCAATATTTCTATGAATACACAATAAAGTTATACTTTATCCCATCAAATAGATAAATTTTTTTATAGATTTTTGAGTGAACGTATCTGTGTGATTTTTAAAAGATGAACAAACTCGAGGACCGCTGTGATTAAGTATTCGGATTAAGGCGTGATTTTTTATTATCCTTTTTACTCATCTGACTTAGTCAAACTCCTTCTTATTCCCACAATTGGAGGAATTCCTTGCTGGGAAGAGATTTTCGTCGGACGAAGAAATAAAAGCGACGGATATTTGACATCACTTGACGAATCAGAGTTCGTAATGAGACAATGACTTTGTAGCACATCGTAAACAGAGATTGTGAAAAGTAAAAGTAATTATAAAGATATAAGCTGTTTTTCTATTTCGTTGCGAGAACTTTTCAAATGGCCTACGTATATGTGCTACGCCTATAAAGGAGTGTGTCATCCATACGATATGCATATTCTTTTTATTTCTGCTGTAGAAGAACAGAGAACGTGGAAAATGTTTGTATATGTGTATAATTAAGGTATAGTATTTCATTTTTCTAAACTGGAGACGTTTGCGATTGCTCTTTGTATTTTGTCGTATATGATTGCGTAGTATAAAATGATAGGTACGTGTATTTATATATCAGTTTATTATTGTCGAAATGTGTGTGGATTACAATTGATCTCGTAATACTTTAAACCTTTCTCTTATCTCCTCTTAAGTTAATCGACGTTAATCATAAAACGACGATCAAGATATCTCAAACCTGAAACTCTGACTTGCTCTGCAAAGTTGGAGTTATAATCCAATGGAATAATAGAAATATCTGTTGTAAAAATGAAAACCGCAGCGTCTGTAATTAACACGGTTAATATCTGTAATTTAGTTTGCACTTTACGATGGTAAAAAGAACGTGAGAGGAAAATAGTACAAGGAATTATGTAACGGAAAAATGTAATAAAATAGGAAATGTATATTAGTTCCTACATTTATTCGTATCGATTCATCCTGTAGACGGTCCATGTTTCTGGCAACATTACTGACAAATCTTACTTAAGTTTCTAAATGCTCTGTTCTAATATATATTCTTTGACGGATAAGCTACGGGGTGTTTATTTTTATATTGTTGTACGTATGATGTACCTTCTTGTACAAGCGAGATCACTTTCATTTCCCAGCATTGTGCATATTTTTCGGTAGACCCAACAGCGAATTTATGAATCAAAACAATGAATCTATTTAATAACATATGATATTACTTACACCACCACTATTTCCTTCTCAAACTGTGTCGGCCGCTTAAGTGGCGTTCCGAGTCCGAATTGACGTGTAAATTAATCCTCGTATCTCATTTTGCCGAAGCGTTCAATATAATTTCGAAATATGACAAATGCGACACGTTATTAGTCAAGTTTAAGCGCCTCTTGATTGCCATTTGGATTGAGATTCGGACAGACACTTATCAGACCTCGGCCGTACGGAAGATTCAACCCGAGAATGTTCCTGTCGACATCCTCGAACTTGCTGGACTCCTCTCTGCAAACGACGCCGATGATAACAGCAACGATGACAGCGAGCTTCGCGTAATTAGCCATTGACTGATGCTGCCTCGTTCTCGAGACGAGATAAGCAAAGGTAAACACTAGGAAAAGATTTGGCAATTGTTAAATGTGTAATTTAACGTACGCGGTTTCGACAGTTTGTATTTAAGAGGGTTATTTTGACAGTTTATGTTATGTTTATGAAGAAGGAGAAGAAAGGGAAGATAGAGAAAGTAGGAGGAAGAAACGATAAAATTAGCTTTTGCGATGACAATTAATAAGTCACAGGGACAAATATTTGACAAAGTAGGAATAGATTCGCAAAGATGTTTTTAATCATGGACAACTTTATGTTGCCTTTTCACGCGTTCGTACTTGGCATTAAAAGTTTATCTTGGTAATCAGGGAGATAATAAACAAGTTAAAAACTATGTATACAGGGTGTATTTAAATGGTCTGTACAAACTTTTGGAATAAGTTCCAGGGACCTAAACAAGTAGAAATGTCCCAATGAATATGGGGTCGGAAACGATTGCTTCTGGAGTTACGATGTTTCGAAGCTCCCTACAATGTCTGGAGAAATTATCATGTCAAATCGCATAGGTGTTACAAAGTTTATTTATTTCCTTGGTTTTGCCACGGACATAACAGGACAATACACGTGCTATAGGAAATGTTCGAAATGGCCTCCGTTAAGTTCCAAGGGAGTCTGCGCAAGTCGTCGTATTGACTGGCGAACCCGTTAGAAAATATCTGGTGTGTTACGGATGGTATCGCAGCCGTCCACGATCCGCTGGCGAAGAGTTGCTTATGTCCGTGGCAAAACCAAGGAAATAAATAAACTTTGTAACACCTATGCGATTTGACGTGATAATTTCTCCAGCCATTGTAGGGAGCTTCGAAACATCGTAACTCCAGAAGTAATCGTTTCCAACCGCATATTCATA